TTCATCAATTTCATGGTTAACCTCATCCTTCATAAATCCATCCGCCGACACTTCAACTCCCAAGTATCTGAAAACATTACTTCTTCCATACTCCTCCTCCCCAATTTGATATCCAATTTTTCTTTATCTAAATCATTTGATACCCTCATCACCTTACTCTTTTCTATGTTCACTTTCAACTTTCTACCTTTACACACATTCTCAAACTCATCCACTAACCTTTGCAATTTTTCTTTAGAATCTCCCATAAGCACAGTATCATCAGCAAAAAGTAACTGTGTCAATTCCCATTTTGAATTTGATTCCCCATAAATTTAATCCCACCCCTCTCCCGAAACACCCTAGCATTTACTTCTTTTACAACCCCATCTATAAATATATTAAACAACCATGGTGACATTACACATCCCTGTCTAAGACCTACTTTTACCGGGAAGTATTCTCCCTCTCTTCTACATACCCTAACCTGAGCCTCACTATCCTCATAAAAGCTCTTTACAGCATTTAGTAGCTTACCACCTATTCCATATACTTGCAACATCTGCCACATTGCTCCTCTATCCACTCTATCATATGCCTTTTCTAAATCCATAAATGCAATAAAAACTTCCCTACCTTTATCTAAATACTGTTCACATATATGCTTCAATGTAAACACTTGATCTACACATCCCCTACCCACTCTGAAGCCTCCTTGCTCATCCGCAATTCTACATTCTGTCTTACCTCTAATTATTTCAATTATAACCCTACCGTATACTTTTCCTGGTATACTCGTAAACTTATTCCTCTATAAATAACAAAAAGGCACAATACCGTGACTGGAACGATACACAAATAACCCGCACATAAAAGACAGAAGCTTACGACGACGTTTCGGTCCGACTTGGACCATTGACAAAGTCACACTAACAGAGGTGGAGCAGGACGGCTATATATAGGCAGGAAGAGGTGGAGGTAGTAGTAGTGTAGTAGTATAGTTAGTAGTAGTAGTAGTAGTAGTAGTAGTAGTAGTACAAGAATTGTATATAATACCGACAAGATGAAATGACACATGCACAACACCCGGGCATCCCCACCGTAGACGTTTCGCCATCCAGCCATCCAGTGGCTGGCTGGATGGCAAAACGTCTACGGTGGGGATGCCCGGGTGTTGTGCATGTGTCATTTCATCTTGTCGGTATTATATACAATTCTTGTACTACTACTACTACCACTACTACTACCTCCACCTCTTCCTGCCTATATATAGCCGTCCTGCTCCACCTCTGTTAGTGTGACTTTGTCAATGGTCCAAGTCGGACCGAAACGCCGTCGTAAGCTTCTGTCTTTTATGTGCGGGTTATTTGTGTATTATTCCTCTATAATTTTTACAATCTCTTTTGTCCCCTTTCCCTTTATATAAAGGGACTATACATGCTCTCCGCCAATCCCTAGGTACCTTCCCCTCTTTTATTCATTTATTAAACAAAAGTACCAACCACTCCAACACTATATCCCCCCCTGCTTTTAACATTTCTGTCATGATCCCATCAGTTCCAGCTGCTTTACCCCCTTTCTTTCTACGTAATGCCTCGCGTACCTCCACCACACTTACATTCTGCTCTTCTTCACTCCTAAAAGATGGTATACCTACCTGGCCAGTGCATGAAATTACCGCCTCCCTTTCTTCCTCAACATTTAAAAGTTCCTCAAAATATTCTCGCCATCTACCTAATACCTCCCTCTCCCCATCTACTAACTCCCGTACTCTGTTTTTAACTGACAAATCCATACTTTCCCTAGGCTTTCTTAACTTGTTTAACTCACTCCAAAATTTTTTCTTATTTTCATTAAAATTTCTTGACAGTGCCTCTCCCACTCTTTCATCTGCTCTCCTTTTGTACTCTCTCACCACTCTCTTCACCTTTCTTTTACTCTCCATGTACTCTGCTCTTCTTATAACACTTCTACTTTGTAAAAACCTCTCGTAAGCTACCTTTTTCTCTTTTATCACACCCTTTACTTCTTCATTCCACCAATCACTCCTCTTTCCTTCTGCCCCCACCCTCCTATGACCACAAACTTCTGCCCCACATTCTAATACTGCATTTTTAAAACTATTCCAACCCTCTTCAACCCCCTCACTACTCATCTTTGCACTAGCCCACCTTTCTGCCAATAGTCGCTTATATCTCGCCCGAACTTCCTCCTCCCTTAGTTTATACACTTTCACCTCCCTCTTACTTGTTGTTGCCACCTTCCTCTTTTCCCATCTACCTCTTACTCTAACTGTAGCTATAACTAAATAATGATCCGATATATCAGTTGCCCCTCTATAAACATGTACATCCTGGAGCCTACCCATCAACCTTTTATCCACCAATACATAATCTAACAAACTACTTTCATTACGTGCTACATCATACCTTGTATATTTATTTATCCTCTTTTTCATAAAATATGTATTACTTATTACCAAATTTCTTTCTACACATAGCTCAATTAAAGGCTCCCCATTTACATTTACCCCTGGCACCCCAAATTTACCTACTACTCCCTCCATAACATTTTTACCCACTTTAGCATTGAAATCCCCAACCACCATTACTCTCACACTTGATTCAAAAACTCCCCACGCATTCACTCAACATTTCCCAGAATCTCTCTCTCTCCTCTACACTTCTCTCTTCTCCAGGTGCATACACGCTTACTATAACCCACTTTTCACTTCTTCTTTCTTTCAACACATCGGCCATATCCCACCAAGGCAGGGTGGCCCAAAAGGAAAAACGAAAGTTTCTCCTTTTACATTTAGTAATATATACAGGAGAAGGGGTTACTAGCCCCTTGCTCCTGGCATTTTAGTCGCCTCTTACAACACGCATGGCTTACGGAGGAAGAATTCTGATCCACTTCCCCATGGAGACCCACTTTTCACATCCAATCTTTAGTTTACTCCACATAATCCTTGAATTTATACATTTGTAGTCCCTCTTTTCCTGCCATAGCTTATCCTTCAACATTATTGCTACTCCTTCTTTAGCTCTAACTCTATTTGAAACCCCTGACCTAATCCCATTTATTCCTCTCCATTGAAACTCTCCCACCCCCTTCAGCTTTGTTTCACTTAAAGCCAGGACATCCAGTTTCTTCTCATTCATAACATCCACAATCATCTCTTTCTTATCATTTGCACAACATCCATGCACATTCAGACTTCCCACTTTGACAATTTTCTTCTTCTTATTCTTTTTAGTAATCTTTACAGGAAAAGGGGTTACTAGCCCATTGTTCCCGGCATTTTAGTTGACTTTTACAACACGCATGGCTTACGGAGGAAAGATTCTTATTCTTATTCTTATTCTTATTTTTTTTTTCAACAAGTTGGCCGTCTCCCACCGAGGCAGGGTGACCCATAAAAGAAAGAAAATCCCCAAAAAGAAAATGCTTTCATCATCATTCAACACTTTCACCACACTCACACATAATCACTGTTTTTGCAGAGGTGCTCAGAATACAACAGTTTAGAAGCATATACGTATAAAGATACACAACATATCCCTCCAAACTGCCAATATATATATATATTTATTATTTTTCCTTTTTTTTCATTAACACACTGGCCGATTCCCACCAAGGCAGGGTGGCCCGAAAAAGAAAAACTTTCACCATCATTCACTCCATCACTGTCTTGCCAGAAGGGTGCTTTACACTACAGTTTTTAAACTGCAACATTAACACCCCTCCTTTACCCTAAGAAGAGTAAGAATTTTTGCAGTTTGAAGAGTCATCAAAATTGTAGTATTAGCATGCCTCTGGCATGCTAATACTACTAACTGATGGTGAAAGTGCTTCTTCAAGATCTTTTAAGTCACCCTACCTTGGTGGGAGATGGCTGGTGTGTTAAAAAAAAAAAACTGCAAATATTCCTACCCTTCTTAGGAAGTTCAGGCATTATTCTTCCCACCTCCAGGACTCAAGTTTGCCTAACCTATTTCCCTGAATCCCTTCATAAATGTTACCTTGCTCACACTCCAACAGCATGTTGTCATAAAATCACTTGCCTTCACTCACTTTTAACATGCTCACACACCTGCTGAATGTCTAAGCCCCTTATACACAAAACCTCCTTTACTCCCTCCCTCCAACCTTTCCAAGGGCAACCCTTCCCCTGCCTTCCCTCCACTACACATTTATACACCCTCCAAGACATTCTATTATGTTCCATCCTCTCTAAATGTTCAAACCACCTCAACAGCCCTTCCTTAGCCCTCTTAATGATTTTTTGCTAACCCCATGTGTATGTGTGTGTATATTTATGTACATATGTTAGTTCTAATGTATAATTATACAGCAGGACCTCTTTACACTATCCAAAATGGTTAAAGCCCCAAAAAATTCAGGTACAATAATAGGAATTGTGTAGGGGTAAAACTGACTCATCTAATCAGTCATTTCTGCATAATTAACACAAAAATAGCTAAGTAATGGTTTGTGAACAAGCCAGGTTAAGTAAGGGGTTGTTGCAGTGCCAAACATTTGTATCAAATAAAGAAAAATGTACAAATTTCCTACAGCAGGTGTATTTTTTATTAATAATTGTGGGCAGGAGCAGCCAGTGAAATTCCACTGCATTAAGCAGATTTTCAGCTAAAAGAGGTTCAACTGTAAATTATTTTATAGGCAGACCATTATCTTTCTTAACTAGGATCACTACACACCCTTTACAACACAACAAGTCTTCTTAGTATATTTGCAAGCTAAATAATTTAGCATGTTCATTACTTAGTCACTTAAGATCACCTGTATTAGTGAAGAACTACTGACTCAAAACTATATTTACATATTAGGACAAAAATAGTATGCATTTAAGGAATTTTTTTTATGTGAAAAACTGAAATAAAATTTACTAGCAAGGGGCAAGAAAGTCAGTCAGTAAAACTTCTGTAGACAAAAAACAATAGTGTTAATGTTGACTGAAGACAATTTTTTTTTTTTTTGGATCAGAAACACACATACACAAAAAAATATATTAGAGCAAAATATAGAAGATTCATAAACAAGGCTGTAATACAGACATATTATGAAAGAAGTTTACTTGATATACCACCTATTAAACTGTTCAAGTAAGTTAGTATGTGCATATGTATGTTCCACATTTTTTAATACTGTTATACCGTGTATCTTTTAATAAAATCTTATGTACATTTTTATTTTGCTTGCTATAAAATCAGCAGAAAGGACTTGCCATGTTGGAAAAACTTATTCTTATTTATTTCATAAGATATACTTAAAACCCAACAGTAATAATATTGCATAAACAACTATAAACTTTTATATTTATAAAATCTATGCAAATTTCTTAAAAATTTATATATTTATACATTAAAGTTTTATATTATTTATAGAGAAAGTGAAGATAATAGTCATAACAGAGTAAAATGAATGAAAAAATATACTGACTGGGTCATTTAGTGGCTGAGAAGTTATATTTGCCATTGCAGTCTCAATCTTTTTATATAAAAACATTCTCTTAAGTGACAGATAAACAATGCAATTTTTTTGCACATAACTATACAAACATTATCTGACTGTACATGATCACGAAGAAATAAGTAATGAAACTTTGAAAGTTGAGTTTTGAGAAGTACTAAGCCCAAATCCATCAGCAGTGAATATGTATGCTATCACAGAATGGATACTAAAATTTTGTTTAACGTCAACATCACATTGTGACTTGACGTGTTGTATAATTATGGATCAGCTGTAGGCCTAATTAACCTGGTGATATAAGCATGCTTAACTCCATAGATAATGTGGATTTAAATTTTGTTGGCTAGGTAAAAAAAAAAATTCCAAGGGGCTTACAAAACTTGACTATGTGCTGTAATTGAGAAAGTTTCTAAACAAGTCTTATTTTCATAGGCCTTAACTGCCCCACACAAAGCCAAAATTAAAGTAATTGCTCAAAATTTTGTTAGATACCATCTTACTGTGAGTGCACAGAAAATTATGTACTTAATATGCCCATCAATCTGAAGACCTCTTGCTTAGATTATTATGTTTTGTGTTGACCTACTGAATTTGAAAACTATCATTATAAGGTACAGTATACAAATTAATTGAATTCTTTTCTTTCATACCTAGAACAGTTTCAAATCTAATTCTGAGTACTGTATATCTTTTGTCACCTACTTTGAATAAATTTTTGTACTTTTCTGAGAAAGGTTTGTGTATTATTGATAAAGCCTTTCAAATTTAACCTTATCTTCAGAAAGGAGTTTTTTTCATTGAAAAGCAAATATACATATAAAATATTTTGATTAAACCAAATCTGCCATCAGTTATAAATGAAACTTGAGATACATGCATAGATATTTCATGTATTCATATATGTAATATACTTTGTTTAATTTTAATTTCATTGGCTTTGTATAGAAAATGAAAAACCACTGCATGACCTGTTTCCCCCCCCCCCTGAAAAATAAAAAATTCTCAGGCTGTTTAAATTTTCAATGAAAATGAAATAAAGTAGTTGAGGAAATTTAAGAAAATGCTTGAGCTGAGAAAAGACCATGACATGCAAATATCAGGTACGATGCACTGTGACCATCACCGACATACAGAATTCAGCTTGATAAATGTGAAGAGTATTGTAATGGTCATTCATTCACTAACATATATGCAAGTCGATAGAGCAGCAGTTATATTTACTCAACAATTAATCTTATGCATGAAATCAAACAGGGTTAAAAAATTCTTTGAACTTTGTTAAACATATTACTGTATGTACTGCATATTTGAAATTTCTCAAAGAAAATTCTACTCCTGCATAATTATTAATGTAATTGTGTAGTTACAGTAAATGTATGTATGTTAGTGTTCAAGTTTGTGTAAATCCATAAACTTCCATTCCACAGACACCCGTAAAATAACTTGAGTAAACAACACACTGACTTGAGATAAAGAATACAGTATATTGGCAATGGTCTGGCAACACTCTTCAGTCATAGGTATGAAGACAGGATACTGAAGTAATGTGTACTTTATGAATATAAAATAACATCATTAAATCTGTACATTATGTACAATAATTTTTAATGTATAAGGACATGAATTAAAGTTTAATATGTACATTACCATTTACATAATATATTAGCACTAAAAATACATATAGATTGTTCAATATTGAGAGCTTTAGGTAACACAGTGGCTTTTTTTGGTACAGAAAATATAAGCTACAACCATGTACCAATATATTTTTTAAGAACCTGGATAAAATTACAAATATGCATATAACAAAATGCTGATAAAGCAACCATCAGATGAAAAGTCTGATGATCAGTAGTAAGAAATGGCAAAACACTTCCAGAGTACCAACAGTAGGCAGCACATCGTATCAACTAGTTTAAAAACCTTTATATTTTGGCTACTTTGCTACTTTGTATTTGTGCATATACCTTCCAGCCATTCATACATGATGATTATCTGGATAGGGCAAGTCTAACACCCAAGGTGCCGAGCTGGTGCACAGAGCTGCCGCTGATCATCGAGTTAAGGATAAACAATATAGGGGGAAACTCTTGTATTGTGGGTACCATGTGAAAACTCTCATTCTATACACCTGTTCAAATATTTGTGAACACCTTTAATCTTAGAGATTCTGTTTACAAAATTCACAAACGCCCATCAGAATATTTATCACCCTTCTGTTGTCATAAGTCATAAAATAATAGCTTTATCTTTCTTTATAATACACTAAGATTGAATAAATTGTCTTCATATACAATATTTTTCAAAAATTAACACACAAGTCCATAAAGGACTCAAAAGTATTTTAGTTATTAAATAATCTTTCTATTTTTGTTTTAATTTACCTAAAGACAATCTTATATCTTTCTAATATTATTTACTCAACACACTTATTCATAAACACTCCTGGTGAAAAAAATTCACTGAAACTATAAAGTCTAAGAAGCATGTATAAATACGTACATCAATTATTAAAAATTATATCTCATGACTTTGAGTTATTTTCCTCTTTTCTTGTTGTCTCCTCCTCTTCATCATCATCATCATCATCGTCATCGTCGTCATCATCTATTTCTTCCTTTATCTTTGTTGCTGCCTCTTCCTTCTCTTGATCCTCTTCCTCTTGTTTGAAAAACTTCAGGTATGTACTAAGAGTTGTTTCTACCCAGTCTGCTTTACTGGCCTCTTCTACAATGCTGAACACAAACTGCAGGCATCTGGGATTGGATAAAAATAAGACTGTCTCTTCCAAGTACTCTACAAATTTGCTCTTATTGCCAAACATGCCAACCAACTTGAAAACTGCAACAAAGCTACTGGTATATTTAATCATGACTGCTACAGTATCATGAAGCAGTGAATGTATATCCCTAGTGCAAACACATTAAACATTTTCATTGTCTGGCAATGAAGCCAATAGACCCAAAAATCCTACAAGTCTTAATGCACTGGCCATTTTCCACCTAGGTGGGATGACCCATGGGAGAAAACACATTCACCCTCACACTGTCTTTCAAGTAGTGCTGAGAATACAATTCAAATTATCCTTTAAACTTCAACATCCCCACCCATACTTCAGTGCAGGTACTGTGGTTCCCACATCCAGAATTCAGGTTTAGCTAACCTGCTTCTATGAATCCTACCTGATTTTTGCATTAGTAAGTATACAAACACACCTATTCCAGATGTCACTTGTCTTTAAAACTTGTGTTGCAGACACACACACACACACCTGAATCTTTTTTTTTTTAACCTAAGTCATGACATATTCTTCCTCTAAGCCATGCGTGTCATAAGAGGCGACTAAAATGCCGGGAGCAAGGGACTAGTAACCCCTTCTCTTGTATAAATTACTAAATTTAAAAAGAGAAACTTTTGTTTTTCTTTTTAGATCACCCTGCCTCAGTGGGATATGGCCAGTTTGTTGAAAAAACAACTTATGACATGGTAAGTGTCTCTAGCTCACTGGTATTGGCAGCCAATAGGGTGCAGACAATTCTTCTATCTCTGGTGCTAATTCTATAATAAAGAATGTCTGTTACTTCAGCAAATTTCAATTCTCTATACAATATTGCTTAAGTATAGAATACTACCACACACTTCCTTTTTTTACTACTCCAATTCATCTCTCTCTCCTATTCATAATATCTCCTTCATAGTCACTTTTACTCTGCTCTGTCTCTCACATACCCTCTATATTTCTTTATACCCCTTTCTTCATTGTTTTTTTCTTCTTTTCTTCCCCAATGAATTTCATCTTTCCACCTCATGCCCTCCTTCACTGTCTATCATTTCTGTTATTTCTTAACTTTGGCTACGCCGTATCTCTACGAAGCATAAAGATATTATTTTTTGTTGGGTCCCTGGTCATGTCGACATACAGGGCAATGAACAGGCAGACACTGCTGCGTGGTCAGCAGTACATGACCTACCAATTTCCTATAGAGGTGTTCCATTTCTGGACTATTTTGCTACAATAGCTGCCCACCTTCGCGCCCGTTGGCAACAACGTTGGTCAACTCTGCTTGGTAACAAACTTCATTCTATTAAACCGAGCATAGGTTACTGGCCGTCTTCTTGTCATCAGTGCTGTGGTTGGGAGACCACTCTCTCCCGTCTTCATATTGGCCACACTAGTCTTACTCACGGGTATCTCATGGAGAGGCACCCTGTACCTCTCTGTGAGCAGTGTCAAGTTCCAGTATCGATTAGCCACATTCTGTTAGACTGCCCTCTCTATCAACGAGCACGCAGAATTTACCTCCAACGCTGTCTTCGTTCTACTACTCTCTCTTTACCTTCCCTTCTTGCTGATGGACCCTCCTTTAATCCTGACTCTCTCATTGACTTCTTGACAACGACTGATTTACTCCACAAACTCTGATGATGATACCTTATGCACTCCCCTCAGCCCTTTCTAGCTCAGTCTCTTGCTGCCCTTTACCCTTTCACCATCCACTGCTCCGCTGTTATCCGTAACCTATTACTCATCCACCTCCCTTTTGCCACCTGATGCCCTCGCTTCCTTCCTGCCCTGCAGCGCTGTATAGCCCTTGTGGCTTAGCGTTTCTTTTTGATTATAATAATAATATGTACTTGCCTTAGTCACTTCTTAACTTGCATTGTTTTTATTTCTTATATACTATCAGTTAGGTATTGTATGCCAAAATATTCCACCCACGAATGAGACTACAGTGGGTTAATAGGGCACAAAATGCTTTCTTTCAACTTGTTTGTGCAAAATACTTATCATATAGTGAAGGTTTCAACTGCTTTTTAAAATACTTTGTTATGTGTATGAGCTAATAATATTAAATTGCACTGGTATTTATCCTTGTGATGGGATATAAGCTGGGAATGATGAAATTGGTTAAAGATGCATGCAAACTTAATGAGAAATATTTGAAGTCATTACTTACCCAAACTTAAGATGTGACCCATGGTGGAGGACAGCACCCCCCTCCCAACCTCCACTACCATGGGTGACTGATGATGTGACCTTGGATGTGCCACACATCTTCCGTTTCCCAAGTTTACAGTTACACCGAGTTAATGTCTGAAGGGAAAGAAGAAAGACAACACCCATTAACTACCATAGCTCATGATGACATGTCATGATGACAGAAGTACTCATTATTCTCTGCACATGTTATATCTTTCTGCCTTACACCACTAATCAGTATGTGACAAAAACCACTCCCTTAAAACTCACCCAAAGTGGTTAGGCCACCCTTCTAACCAGTCTCTCCTTGTCTACCCACAACCATTTTTTTTCACTGTCCTATCCTACCCCAGTTCTTTTCCCTCTCTATGTTGGCCATTCCTCTTATGACCCTAAAAACAAATTGCCTATGATTCAAGGTTACCAGAATTAGATTCTGATCACACGAAAAAAAAAAAAGAGTATGGGTGAATGACTGACTCACTTGTCCTGGAGTATCTGTCATGGCTTCTCCTATAGGTCTGTCTGGAAGGTGGCCTCTTCTTTGGTTAATAATGGCTCGGACTTGTTGGAGAAGTGGAGGTGGAGGTGCATGATTCACAGTCTTCTCACTGTGATCGTATCGATATAGCACACTATCAACTCTGGTGCCATGAGGACTATAATTAAGGAGCTCATAGTGCCCAGTATTCTGTAGCAATAGAAAACATACCATCTTAATATTAAATATTAATCATTAACAACATTTATGAAGATGTCTACAACCATTAATAGTCTACTTCTTGAGAATAACTTGCAATTGCATTTTTGAAACATATACTGGTAAGATTTTCAGCACATAATATATAAAGTTATAAATTATATGCCAAAGCCTGAAATTATGCTTAGGCTCTCAGCAAAGCATATAAAGACTGAAATGACTGGGAAAAAAAAAAAAAAAAAAAAAAAAAAACATATGTGGTTTGTGAAATTCTGCTAACAAATTTGAGTGTGATACGAGTTTTCCTTCTTTGAGTCACTGCCTTGGTGGGAAACTGTCTGATGTGCTAACAGATTTATATGGAGGGACAGGGGTACATAGCTAGAAGGGTCTGTAAAGTACATACAACATTCTCGTTAATTTTCAGTGTACATAAAATGCAAAACTTAAACAGTCTGAAAATCTGATCAGACAACCAAGGGATGCTTAAAAGGAAACTTAATGTTTCCTCTCTAAAGCATGGGTTATGTGTGAAGCAGAGTGGGACCATAAAAAATACCAGTGGATGGAGAGTCCACTGATAAATCAGTAGTGAACACACCAATGTCAAATTCATTGAGAATATCAAAGATATTTACAAAGATTATCTACTTGTAAACAAAACACAAGTCACAAATTATGCTATGATCAAATTGAAATGTTACATGCAATTTACTCAGAACTTTAATTCCAAATTTAACTATGGGCTAGTAACCCCTTTTCCTGTATAGCCTACTAAAAAGAAAAAGAAGAAAACCATCAAAGTGGGATGTTTGAATGTGTGTGGATGTTGTGCAAATGATAAGAAAGAGATGATTGTGGATGTTATGAATGAGAAGAAGCTGGATGTCCTGACTTGAAGTGAAATAAAGCTGAAGGGGGTGGGAGAGTTTCAATGGAGAGAGATAAATGGGATTAGGTCAGGAGTTTCAAATAGTTAGAGCTAAAGAAGGAGTAGCAATAATGTTGAAGGATAAGCTATGGCAGGAAAAAAGGGAATATATGTATGCATTAATTCAAAGATTATGTGGAGTAAAATAAAGGATGGATGTGAAAAGTGGGTTATAGTAAGCATTTATGCACCTGGAGAAGAGAGAATTGTAGAGGAGAGACAGAGATTTTGGGAAATGTTGAGTGAATGCGTGAGGAGTTTTGAACCAAGTGTGAGAGTAATGGTGGTTGGGATTTCAATGCTAAAGTGGGTAAAAATGTTGTGGAGGGAGTAGTAGGTAAATTTGGGGTGCCAGGCATAAATGAAAATGGGGAGCCTTTAATTGAGCTATGTGTAGAAAGAGGTTTGGTAATAAGTAATACATATTTTATGAAAAAGAGATAAGTAAGTATACAATGTATGATACAGCATGTAATGAAAGTAGTTTGTTAGATTATGTATTGGTGGATAAAAGGTTGATGGGTAGGCTTTAGGCTGTACATGTTTACAGAGGGTCAACTGATATATCGGATCATTATTTAATTGTAGCTACAGTTAGAGTAAGAGGTAGATGGGACAAGAGGAAAATGGAAACAACAAGTAAGAGAGAGGTGAAAGTGTATAAACTAAGGGAGGAGAAAGTTAGGGTGAGATACAAGCAACTATTGGCAGAAAGTAGGCTAGTGCAAATATGAGCAGTGGGGGAGTTGAAGAGGGTTGGAATAGTTTTAAAAATGCAGTATTAGAATGTGGGGCAAAAGTTTGTGAATATAGGAGGGTGGGTGCAGAAGGAAAGAGGAGTGACTGGTGGAATGATGAAGTAAAGGGTGTGATAAAAGAGAAAAGGATGGCTTATGAGAGGTTTTTACAAAGCAGAAGTGTTATAAGAAAAGCAGAGTATATGGAGAGGAAAAGAAAGGTGAAGAGAGTGGTGAGAGAGCATAAAAGGAGAGCATATGATAGAGTGGGAGAGGCACTGTCAAGAAATTTTAATGAAAACAAGAAAAAATTTTGGAGTGAGATAAACAAATTAAGAAATCCTAGGGAATGAATGGATTTGTCAGTTAAAAACAGAGTAGGGGAGTTAGTAGATGAGGAGCTGGAGGTATTGGGTAGATGACGGGAATATTTTGAGAAACTTTTAAATGTCGACGAAGAAAGGAAGGCGGTCATTTCATGCACTGGCCAGGAAGGTATAACATCTTTTAGGAGTGAACAAGAGCAGGATGTGAGTGTGGGGGAGGTGCGTGAGGCATTACGCAGAATGAAAGGGGGTAAAGCAGCAGGAACTGACAGGATCATGACGGAAATGTTAACCCCTTGACTGTCGCAACCCCCAATCGTGAGGTGTCTCCTGGTATCGCAAAATTTAAAAAAAAAAAAAAAATCATATGAAATGATGGAGAATCTTTTCCTGATTGTAATGACACCAAAAAAACGAAATTTGATGGAAAACTGACGGAATTATGCTCTCGTGAAGTTAGCGACCTCTGCGATATTTACAAATTGGAGATTTCGCCCACTTTGAGCCCTATTTTCAGCTAATTCCATTGTTCCAGTCAACCAAACTCATAGCTATTTCTTTAGAACTCCATTTTTTCTATCGATTGAGTACAAGAAACTGCCCATTTACCGAACTCAACTACCCAATAACATGGTCAGAAATTTGCAATTTGGCCAATTTCACGAAAATTAAAAAAATATGACAATTTCAAAATAAGGTCCAGAATGAACAATGCAGACACTCCTGGCTCTAAAATAACATTTTCTTTGTTCATCAGTCACGTCTCCAGGCCCCTCTGATATTACTCTTGATTTTTATTTTGAATTTTTATTGAAACAAAAAATAGAAGATTTACTGTTATGCAGACTACTGCAATACTGTAATAATTGGACAAATAATGTCAACTCATTCATGACTGCATATTAGAATGGTTAGTTGGACATTTATTGGACAATGACATCATTTGTTTACCTTTGAACATCGGCAAAAATCAAACATTTCCCCTACTTTGAGCTCCATTTCCAGGTTATTTTAATAGTAAAACCAATCAAAACCACCTCTTTTTCTATAATATGTTTTCCATTCTATCAAATGAGACCAAGAAAGTGAGAATACAACCATAAATACTATACAAAAATACACCACGAAGTCGGCATTTTAATTAAAAAAAAGGTTAGTTTTTTTCTTATTATGCACTGCGTGCTCCAGGATTTTTTTATATGGTGCACACTGACCATACAGATCCATTCTCTCACATGTGGGCCTACCAGCTTTCTCCTGCTTGATTTGAAGCCGCTAGAATTTATGAGTATACATATATATGTCAAACACGGTACCTCGTAAGACGTATATAAACGACCAAAACAGTCAAAGGGTTAAAAGCAGGGAGGGGGATATAGTGTTGGAGTGGTTGGTTCTGCTAACTGGTTTTTATTATGTGACCTCTATGCTCTTAATTCTGCCAAGCCATAAAAATCATCTTATCTCTCAATATTAACCAAATCAGCCAAAACATCTGCTAATTAGTTTTATTATGTGACCTCCTGGCTTTTAATTTTGCCAATCCATAAAATATTACCACCTGCACCATTACTTGTAAGGTAGATTCTGTGTGCAATTTCAAGATTATTTTACTGAACCCTACTCCACCTTACTACCTCTCACTTGTATTAAGTTTAAATAAGATTGTAGAACAGTTAACCACTATTTCTTGTCTAGTTTTAAGTATAGTTACTATGTACTACTATGACCAACCAAAATGCATCACTAATACTTGCACAAGGGATGAACATGGGGAATATATAATAGCTAAATTCAAATCCAAATACCTACAAAAACCTCTCACAGTGATAAACATCTACAGAGTACCACAGTCAAACATTAGCCGTTTTAGTGAAAACCTAGAAGTATGATAACTGATGCACGCATGAACAAAGATCACTTACTACTCTCAGGTGACTTCAATATAAATCTCCTGCAAGACCAGGACCCACACGTTACTGAATTCACAAACACAATGAGTAACTGCATGTTGCTACCAACAGTAACAAAACCTACAAGAGTTACAGAAACTAGTGTTTCCCTACTAGACCACATCTGGACCAACACCATATCTCCCTTAAGATCAGGCATAATCACAGATAATACCACAGATCATTACCCTACCATCCTCATAACAAACCTTGGCAAATTACCCCTAGACACTACTAAAGTCACTTTCAGACTTCACAATGAGGAGCTATCAATAACTTCACAGCAGCAGTGACAAACATTGACTGGCACACTGAGCTAGAATTTTTTTTTTTTTTTCAACAAGTCAGCCGTCTCCCACCGAGGCAGGGTGACCCAAAAAAAGAAAGAAAATCTCCAAAAAGAAAATGCTTTTCATCTATAACAAGCACTGCCCTAAAAAAACTAAACAGATGACAGCTAAGAGACTGAACAGTCCCTAGCTAACACCCAGCATCCTCAAATCCATAAATACAAAGCACCTATACGAAAAACAGTACAGAATGGGCCACATAACCAGAGACCAAACAAAACGTTACTCGTCAATCCTAACCAGCCTAATAAGAAAGGCTAAAAAACTGTATTATGAGAACAGATTATCCAACTTCTGAGGTGACTTAAAAAAGACCCGGAAAACCCTATCTGAAATACTTGGAACAAAAAAGATAAAACGAAATAGCGAAATTGAATTAACAAAACCAGATGAACCCCAATTCCCACCTACTGAAACAGCAAACAGACTCAATGATTTCTTCTCCACTATAGGAAAAAACCTTGCCAATAAAATCCCAAGCTCAGATACCCCACCCAATGACTACCTCACTGGCAACTACCCGAACACACTGTTCCTAGCTCCAACTAACCCAACTGAAGTCTCCCTTATTATCAACAAACTAAAAAACAAGACAGGAGATTTAAATACCTTACCACCCATTATATACAAAGAAGTGTCACAGGTGCTATCACCAATCATTGCAACACTCTTGAACAAATCCACTGAATCCTCTACCTTTCCTACAGTTCTCAAAATAGCAAGGGTCACCCCGATCCATAAAGGAGGAGACCACACAGACTTGAATAACTATAGGCCAATATCCAACCTGCACCCTCTCTCTAAAATCTTTGAAAAATTAATCCATAAGCGTATCTATTAATACCTCATCTCCCACAACATACTCAACCCCTGTCAACTTGGGTTCAGGCCTAACAAAAATACTAATGATGCTATTATCCACATGCTAGAACATATTTATACAGCAATAGAGGAAAAAGAATTGACTTACGTAAAGCTTTCGATACATTTGACCACGACTTGCTCCACATAAAATTGTCGCACTATGGTATAAGAGGGCACTTCCTCAACTACCTAAAGTCATACCTCAGCAACAGAAGCCAATATATGCACACAAATGGGGCAAACTCTTCCGCACAGCCAATTACAGTTGGTTTCCCACAGGGAAGTGTCCTAGGCCCTCTTCTCTTTCTCATATACATAAATGACCTACCAAATGCATCGCAACTACTCAAACCCACACTATTTGCAGATGACACTACATACGTCTACTCCCACCCGAGCCATCATGCTAGCCAATACTGTAAATACCGAATTACAGAAAATATCAACCTGGATGAGGACCAACAAACTTACTCTAAACATTGACAAAACCTACTACATTCAGTTTGGTAACAGAGCTGCAGATGTGTCTCTTAACATAATGATAAATGGATCACCTATCACAAACCTCACAGAGGGAAAATTCCTAGGAATCCACCTTAATAATAGACTCAAATTTCAAACACATATACAACAAATTTCCAAAAAAAATTCCAAGACCGTAGGCATACTATCGAAGATACGGTACTATGTTCCACAGTCAGCCCTCCTGGCCCTATATCACTCACTTATTTACCCCTATCTCACCTATGGAATTTGTGCATGGGGCTCAACAACAATAAACCATCTCAGACCACTAATCACCCAACAAAAGGCTGCAGTCAGAATGATAACAAATTCCCAATACAGACAGCACACTCCACCAATATTCAAAACTCTAAACCTACTCACAATACAAAACATCCATACTTATTACTGCACATACTACATACATAGAACACTTAACTCTGACATAAACCCTCCCCTCAAACATCTCCTTACCAACCTCAACAGAACACATGACCATAACACAAGACACAGATCACTCTTTGATGTTCCTCGTGTCCATCGCACGCTATGCAAAAACTCAATGCACATAAAAGGCTCTAAAATCTGGAATTCATTACCTGTGAATATAAAAGAAACACTGTCTGTTTATAAATTCAAGTCTCTTCTCAAAAATCACTTACTCACCCACAACTAAATAAATACTGAATAATTGTATCTCATAAATTGTATCTCATTTATGTATCTCATTATTGTATCTCATTATTGTATCTCATTATTGTATCTCATAAATGTCAACCTGTGACCCAATCAAACTTTGTTACTATTTAACTTCATTACCTAACAGAATACTCCATTCTACTGATTACACAGCAACACATTAAATGACCATATGACCTGTCTTTGTAATACTCATTTGTACTAAACTGTTATCTGTTTTACAATAATTTTTGTACCACTGAATATATCATTGCTTAGTTAATCTTAAGTTAATTTTAAGCCTGCCCGCAATGCTATGCATTCAAGTGGCTTTGGCATGCTGCATTTTACTGTATTCTTTTGTACTTCACTGTATCATGTTCAAATTATAAATAAATAAATAAATAAATAAATAAATCTACTTTTAATTAGTTACTATGTATTAGGATTAGTTTGCCCAAAATGCCTCGGCATGATAGTGGCTATCTTTGTACTTAGCAAATGAAAATTGTAATTACACATTGTAATCTTTACAAAGAAATAAACTTTACTTTCTAAGCTGTTGTATCTGGGCGCCTCTGCAAAAACAGTGATTATGTATGAGTGAGGTCAAAGTGTTGAATGTTGATGAAAGTATTTTCGTTTTGGGGATTTTCTTTCTTTTTGGGACACCCTGCCTAGGTGGTAGACGGCCGACTTGTTGAAAAAAAAAAAAAATTATATATTTAAGGCCTTTGACATCTCACCAGCAAATCTTTCCTTGCAAAAAACAATATTGGAGGATGACTCCCATATAGTATACATGTATACTCAATCCTGCTTTAGCAAAAGACACCAGAATATAACTATGAAAGAAATTATATCTTTTTCTCCCATTTATTACTGGTGTTCCATAAGACACTGTACTTGGTCCTGTCTGCTGATCTGCTCTGCAGTTTGCATACTAAATCAATACAAAAGATTTACACCACTGTCTCAACTATCTGCTACAGTCTTTTCCTCTGACCACATAAAAACTACAAAAATGAAGGGAGTTATATTTCAAAAATTCCTACACATTACTGGCATCAAAAAAAAAAAAAAAAAAAAATCAGTGATTAAAAAAAAGTTTAACAAAACCTGCTATAATTTCTCTGGATAATGAAAGTAATCTCACCTCATCAAAAAATATTGCAGCATGCTCTTGGGATATGTAATTACAATGACCATAACGACATAGGTCAACATGGTTGTGGCTCCCTGTAAAGAAAAAGATACTTAGTTATTAATGAAAATTATCTGTATCTACCATAGTTTATCTGTATCAATAAAATTTTATGAATGTAGCACATTTTTTTTTTATAAATAATCTTCAGATTTTCCTGTAGTCTTCATTAAATTTGAAAACATAAAGGACTACAAATAATAGAACAGTAACCCTTTCATATTGACTGGGAAGTAGAATCGTATGAAATGCTTCAAAAACAGCTGTCAGGGTCATTAAAACTACTAGCACACACTTTACAGTGAAAAGTGTCTTTAGAGATGGTGTATTATACATCTTAGTTCAACTCTGAAGGGTCATATCTAAAATAAACTCACATGAGAACACATTCTTTACCTTTCCCAATACGAATTATTCTGTAGGTCATAGCCACTGGTTGAGAACTGTAGGACGGTGTGGGAGACTTCACTGCCCAGTCTTGAAGGTGAGAGTCTGGAACAAGAGGACAGAGCAAAGCACGGGCTGGAAGAGGCTGAATGACAAGAGGTGCAGATGCTGGACTTGGCGGACACAACAACTCCTCCAAGCGTTGCCATGCCAAAACATCAACTACTGAACGCTCCAACTGACTCAGTGATACCTCTGATAAGGAAGACAAAAATTATTTAAAAAACTCTTCTGAAAAATGTCCTCTAGAGGTGGCTAAACAGCACAATAACGATAATATGCATTAATTCATAACAATATACAGTGGAACCTCAAAAATCGAACGTATCACATATTGAACGCTTCGAAAATAGGACCATTTTTTCGGACAAACTGTGTCCCTATTTTCGGACTGCCGGATACGGGACATGTCAGCACGCCCGCTCTGTCCGCGTCCCCGTGCAGGCGCCGTGAGCAGTCTAGCTTTGTTTATGCTTGAGTGAACACTAACCTGCGCTCTCATTCACACATTTTATGATTATTTTGTTGTGTTTAGTGCTTGTGGGACTGTGAAATAAGCTGCCATGGGCCCAAAGAAACTTGCTAGTGGTACCCCTGTGGTAAAGAAAGTGAGACACACCATAGATGTGAAGAAGGAAATAATACAGAAGTATGAGAGTGGTGTGAGACTTATTGAGCTTGCCAGGATGTATGGGAAAAACAAGTCGACCATCGGTTCTATCCTGCCAAAGAAAGAACAAATCAAGGAAGCTGATGTTGCGAAAGGTGTTATTTTTTTTTTTTTTTTAACAAGTCGGCTGTCTCCCACCAAGGCAGGATGACCCAAAAAAGAAAGAAAATCCCCAAAAAGAAAATACTTTCATCATCATTCAACACTTTCACCACACTCACACATTATCACTGTTTTTGCAGAGGTGCTCAGAATACAACAGTTTAGAAGCATATATGTATAAAGATACACAAACATATCCCTCCAAACCGTCAATAATCCACACCCCTCTTAAATGCAGGCACTGTACTGTCCCATTTCCAGACTTCAAGTCCGACTATATGAAAATAAAACGTTTTCCCTGAATCCCTTCACTAAATATTGCCCGCTCACACCAACAGCTTCATCAGGTCCCAATACCATTCGTCTCCCATTCACATCCTATCTACACGCTCACGCACGCTTGGCTGGAATCCAAGCCCCTCGCCCACAAACCTCCTTTACACCACCCCCCTCTCTCCACCTCTTTCAAGGACCGACCCCCTACACCGACTTATCCTTCCCCAATAGATTTATATGCTTTCATGTCAGTCTACTTTGATCCTTTCCTCTAAATGACCAAACCACCTCAAGAACCCCCATCTGCCCTCTTGCTAATATTTTAATTAACTTCACAATCACACCTTTTCTTAATTTCCACACACCGAATTTTCTGCTACTATTTACAACGCACACATTGCCTCTTAGGACTGGACATCTCCACTGCTCCAACCATCTCCTCGCTGCTGCTGCATTTACACCCCCAAGCTTTCACACCCCTATAAGAATGGTTGGGTACTACTAGACTTTCATACATTTCGCCTTTCTTGCCTCCATATAACGTTTTTTGACTCCACATATACCTCAACGCACCACTCACCTTTTTTCCCTCATCAATTCTATGATTAATATGTAATAGGTTTTAATATGCTAACCAAAAAAAGACCACAAATAGTTGAAGAGGTTGAGAAGTTGTTGCTGGTGTGGATCAAGGATAAATAGATTGCAGGCGATAGTGTTTCAGAGACGATTATTTGCGAAAAGGCAAGGAAGTTGCATGCCGATCTGGTACAGAAAACTCCTGGAACCAGTGCTGATAGCGAATTTAAGGCCAGCAGAGGCTGGTTTGACAGATTTAAGAAGCGTAGTGGCATACACAATGTTGTAAGACAGGGTGAGGCCAACCCCCCCCCCAGTTTCAGACAAACGGGCGGCTGAGAAGTTTTGTACAGGAGATTTAAGGGGTACGTAGACAGTGAAGAATTCAAACCTGAACAAGTGTTTGTGATGAAACAGGCCTGTTTTGGAAGAAAATGACAAAAAGGACCATCACACAGGAGGAAAAGGCACTGCCAGGACACAAGCCTATGAAAGACAGGCTTACTCTTTTGTTCTGTGCTAATGCCAGGTGGTGATTTTAAAGTGAAGCCTTTACTTGTGTATCATTCAGAAAATCCCAGAGTGTTTAAGAAAAACAATGTCTTTAACCCTTTGAGGGTCGACAGGCCCTCTCCGAAACTCGTTCTCAGGGTCGGCCAAATTTAAAAAAAAAAAAAAATTATTTTCTCTTATGAAAAGATAGAGAACTTTTCCCGATCAAAAAGACATAAACCAAAAGTTTGAAATTAGATAAGAAACTTAACGGAATTATGCTCTCGCAAAGTTTAGCGGTCTCGGCGATGTTTTACGCATCGGCGATTTTGCCCACTTTGAGGCCCATTTTCGGCCCAATTTCACTGTACTAATCGCAAAAAAACATAATATTCGCTAGAACTTTCTCCATTTTTATTTTCCTATCGAATGGATGCAAGAAAACCACTCATTTATGAAATTTCAACTATCCAGACAGTGTCAGAATTTAGCAATTTTGCCAATTTCACACAAAGTTCAAAGATGCACAATTCAAGAATAGGGTCCAGAATAAACAAGAAAGACATTCCTGGGCACTAAAATGACATTTCCTCTAGTCATTTGTCCATGTCTCCAGTCGCCCTCTTATATTCTTTTGCAGTTCCCTTCACTTTGAATTTTTATTTTCACAAAAAATATAAAGATTTTCCTGTTAACGCAGACTACTAGCAATTATGTAAAAAAATGTATAATATATTATTGGTGCAACTTGTGAAGATATATTAAGACTCACCAGTTGCCGTGTATTGCACGCTTGGGCACATTTGTTTACTTTGAAGTTTGGTAAAAATCGAACATTTCTGGCTACATTGAGATCAATTCAAGTCACCTTTTCTTTGTAAAACCATCAAAAATCACTCAATTTCTGTAATATGTCTTCCATTCTATAAAATGAGACCAAGAAAACTAGAATACAACAATAAATACCATAACGTAAAGATACACTGCAAAAGTCGCTGATTTATAAAAAAAAGGGTCAAAGGTTGATTTTTTTTCTCATTAATAAGCACTGTGTGCTGCGGATTTTTTTTAGACTGTGCACACAGACCACATAGACCATTCTTTCATATGAAGCCTACCAGCTTTCCTCCACTAGATTTTAGGCGCTAGAATTTATGATACTAGTTACGTCAAAAACCCCTACCGTAAAACGTACATATTCGTACGAACACCCTCAAAGGGTTAAGAACTAGTTATGTGTCTTGTGAAAGCTAATCATAAGGCATAGTCCCAAGACAAATTTCAAAGAGTGGTCTATAAGTGTTTGGCCCCAGTGTGAAAAAATACCTCCAGGAAAAGAAAATTGCCACTCAAGTGCCTCCTGTTAATGAACAATGCACTGCTCATCCTCCAAACTTATTAGACCTCTTGTCTAAGGACTTCAATTTTATAAGTGGAAGTTCTTGCCTCTTAAAACCATCAGGTACATTTCTAACTTCAAAAAACTCTACACAAAAGCAGTGTTTGAAAAGGTGCTTTGAAGTAACACAGACACTAAGTTTTACCCTAAGAGAGTTCTGGAGGAAATCCTTCCACATCCTACACTCCAAAAGCCTTAAGATTTAGCTTGGGAGAGAGTGACTTCCCAGGACTTTGAGCTCTGCTTGAGACAATTGTGCAGGATTGTGTCCCAAAAGAGGGATTTTGAAGGGTTTGAGGCTGACCCTGACCCTGACCCAGCTCACCCTCTGCCTGTTGTGGACTCTATTGTGGCATTGGGGAACACCCTGGGGTATGGAGGTGAGTGGTGAGGATGTGGAAGAGTTGGTGGAAGGACCACAGGGAAGAGCTAGACCACTGAAGAGCTTGCAAGAGTTCATCCGGAGCAGTAGTCAGACCACACTGAGGAAGCTTGCTTCGGAGGAGGAGGAGGAAGGAGGAGTGGAAGAGGTGTTCTTCTCAAAGATTTTAAGGAGATTTGTGCCTAGTGAATGATGTCCAAATGTTTGTGCAGAAGTACCCCCCACCCTTAGCAAGCTGAAACAAGCCATCTTTGCAACAAGTAAGTGACAGAACCATGTCCCATTTTGGAAATGTTAAAGGCGCCAGAAACAGAGGACTGTGGACAATTCTTTTGTGAGACAGGGTCCAGTGACTCCAAGCAGTCCTAGTGCATAAAAGACAGAGAAGGGAAGTAACCCCAAGAGGGCTTTACCTCAGTCCACATTGAGGCGGGGATTCTCCTTCCAAACACTAACCCCAACTCCCTCTCTCCTCCGTCCCAATCTTTCCAGAATCCATCACAGCTTCAATAAAGGTAAGTAAACATGTTATTTTATACGTATTACTATACATAATTAAAAACTATAGTATTTGTTTTATGTAAAACTGTAATTAATCTCTATAAAATGTATTTTTTGTGTGAATATTTTTGGATTTCTGGAACGGATTAATTGTACTTCCATTACTTCTTATGGGAAATATTGCTTCGAATTTCAAACTTTTCGAATTTAGAACTAGGTCCTGGAACGGATTAAGTTCGATTTTTGAGGTTCCACTGTATATACAGCAGGGCCCCACTTATGCAGCAGGTTAGGTTCCAGGCTACTGCTGGAAAGCAGAACGCCATTTTTTCCACTTATAAATGCATATAAATGCCAGATAAGTTTACACTAACGAATATTAAGTTAGCAATAGAACTAGGCATTAAAAATGATAAAAAGTAAAATACACACACAGTACACTCACTATTTACCTCAAAATATTCGTAGTCCTAATGTAGGGCAAAAGGTGAGTAGTATTTACTGTAAGAAGTTAGGTGTGATAGCCCTCCTGGCCACCCCCACCCACACATAATATACTAAGACGATGCTTAAAGCTCCATAGAATGATGAAATGCATATACAGTATTTATTTGTAGAAAGTGGTGTGGTAGGTAGGGTAGTGTAGGGAAGACAGCCTGGCCAACCCCCACCCACTATGTAAACAAACAACGATGGCCTCTATCTGGTTATGGTTCAGAAAACATTCCTACAAAACCTTACATTGTGTACCAAGTTGTCTCCACAGTGGTACAGTAGAATAAATAAAGACCAAC